AAAAAAAATCGGCCCTTCTTCCTCATTCACAGCATACACACTTTCTCTCATACATATTCCGCGACCAAGCCCCCTCGGCGAACCCAACCCCCGACCGCTCCTTACCACCCAACCTCCGGCAACTTTCTCACCACGGCCTTCGGCGACCACCCCGGCATACTAATCTCTGGCTCACCTCTACCCATAATCATCTCAACCCATACTTTTCCCCAACCCTAGTTCGAGCTTTCATTCCAGTCATCTAACCGGCCCCGACAAAATTCACCTCCGACCACGAGCCCCGGCGACCATTCTCCGACCACAATCCTCCAACAACATCGCAATTCGGTAGTGGTTGTTCATTCAAAGATCATACACAACCCTAGCTCACGGGACTTGTTCAAATCCGACCGAAACTCACTCGAGAGGTACAGAAAGTTTCTTCTAATTACAATTGGTTTAGTATTGTGGCGTGAGGAGGCCAACTCCGGGTCCCCACACTTTCAAATTGTTCAAAAGCTTTCATCTTTCCAAACCGCCCACCAAGTGTTCGACAAATTTCCCGAACTAGAAATCATGGGCAAAACGACCGGTGTTTCGAAGAAAAAGGGCCCCGCAGCTTCAAAGTCCAAAGCGGCGGCCTTCACGAGCTCCAACCCCGACCCGACAACGTCGGCCCAATCCTTAAGAGCCCTCCATTGTATCCCATTTGATGCCGTGTCCATGGACGAGGTCACGGCTTATCAACGGCTCTCTTCCAAGCCTCTTCCCAACCCACGCATCATCGATTGGGATTACTTCAATGACGAGCTCGAGATTGGTGAATACATTAGCCGCTACTCAAATTGCTCGACCTCGAGGATTTCGAGGACATGGAAGTATATACTTACCGGGGTTTGACTATCGAGTTTTTCAGCACAGTCGCCAGGCACGAAAATAGGAAATACCTTACTGCTGCGGGAAAGGAGTACAAAATAAGCGACAAAGTGTTGCGCGACATTTACAACTTCAATCTCTCGATCGAGACACGTCACAGTCCCATGGGATGGAAGGTCGACCCGCATTGGTCGGCTATCTCCCCGTGCGAAAAGTATAAGAAA